GTATCTGCAGCTCTCTTCTGGCAATCTATTTGCTATATCAGAATTAGGCCTGGCAGTTTAAGAGGCTTGAGCTGTAGAGGAAGCATCTGGAGTTATTTATGACTGTTCTGTACCAACCTGCTCCTTCAGGAAGCCATCATGGGAGACTGAGCCAAATGCCTTCAGTGACTTGTGTCTCCAGGAGCCCAGCTGCGATGTGGAGATTTGCCAGTGCCCAGATGGAAGAGATCATTTCAGGGTCAGAAGGTAAAGCAGTTCATGTGGCCCATTATATCAGGTGTATTGAAAGGCATGGGGCAGATTCTCAGATGGTGGAAACTGCAGGCATCCATTTGCTTGTTTTCAATTTATTGGCCCATTTTTGTGACAATATGAAGCTGTTACCTATATTTTATGGATTTTTTTTTTTTTTTTTTTTTGCTTTAAAGAAAATATTTTTTTCTCAGATTCTTTTTTCTGTCAGTAAAAAAACCCTACTGACTGCCACTGGTGGTGTGTCTAGTATATAACATTGCCATCCATAAACTCTGTGTCTAGTATACGGTATTGCCATCTATAAACTCTATTTGTTTTTTAGCCAATGATGGAATTGGCTGAAAAAATGTCAGGATATTTTAAAAATAATATTTTGGCAGTTGTTTTTTTCTTGTGATATTAGAGAACTGGGCTTCGCATCTGTAAATATTTTCTACCCATCATGTGTTGGCACTGGATTTATGACTTGGATACCTTGTTCCAGGGGGACCCAAATCCCTCAGACTGACTACAACTTCTCCATTCAATAACAGGCACATTTTATTGATACACAGTGATAGCAGATAAGAGTAATGCAGGCAAAGCAAACAAAATATGCCCCTCCCTGATTCTCTATCTACCAGTCCCGGGGTTGTCACAGAGGGAAGGTGCATCTGCCAGTATGTGAGCTTCACCATGTGGCTCACCATAGTGTCTACAAACTTCTTTTAATTTAATGAAGGCTGAGGTTTTGACATCTTCACATGACTCCAAGAGCTGGGGCTTTTACACAGAAAGCCAAACAATGATACGGTCCCCCAAACTGGCAACATTGCTTTCTTTCTTTTCTCTTCATCTTTGGGAGCCACGGAGCTACCTTAAGTGATACGTGGGGGCTGCTGAAGAAGGGTTAGTTCACTTACTGCCACCAGTGTCACACTGTAACTTCTGGGCATGCCATGGTGAAAGATATTAGAGAAGGGCAGTGATAGCAGTGAGTTCCTTCAGCTAATTGCTGCACCCACATTTGCAGCAGAAAGTTTACATTTCAGCAATATATCTTGGAAGGTGGGCAGACAAGCTAGCCACAGTGCCTGCAAACTGTTTCCTTGCCAGTCCAGGGCCCCCTAGCTCTGTGAGTCCCCAGGCAGCTGCCTCTCTGGTCTCCTAGAATGGATTTTTTTCATGATGTTTCTCCCTGTCAAGTTTTTAACTGTTCATGCTCCATCAAGATGATTCCCCCACAAATATATATGGATAGATATAGATCTCTCTCTCTCTCTATATATATATATATTTATATACATATTCCCCATTTCTAACCAGTTACATGTACCTTTTAACTCTCACTGGCCACGTCTACACAAGATGCTAACTGCACAGTAGGGCTGTGCGAAACGGCACCATTACATTTTGCCTTGAGCTTCGACGGTTCAACGGAACAGTGTTTCCTCTCGAATTTCATTTTGAGTCAAAACAGCTGCTTTGTTTCATTCCATCAAAACAGAAAGGCTGTTTTGAGGCTGTTTTGAGTTTCGCTGGGGATGGGGAGTCAGACCAGCTGGCCTGACTTCCCATTCCCCAGTGCTAGATTGTGCTGGGGGTGGAAGGCAGCCCAGCTGGGCTGCTTTACCAACCCCATGCTAGATCACCGGGGGTGGAAGGCAGTTCAGCTGGGCTGTTTCCTGATCCCCTGTGTTAGATCACACTGGGGGCGGGAGGCAGCCCAGATAGGCTGCTTCCCCGTCCCCTGCGCTAGATCGCACCCAGCTGAGCTGCCTGCCAATCCCGACAATCTATTGTGGGGGATGGAAAGCAGCCCAGCTGGACTGCCTTCCACCCCTGGCATGATCTAACGTGGGGAACCAAGTTGGGCTGCCTCACTACCCCCCTACTGGAACTTGTGCTGGGGATGGGAAGTCAGCCCAGCTAGACTGACTTCCCATCCCCAGCCTATGGTCAAAAAGTTTTGACTCTCAAACTGTCTTGATTAGCCTCATTTTGTTTTGAGGCTATTTCGAGGGCTTTTGTTTTGTTTCGATTTTGCTGTTTTGACCTCAAAATTGGTCAAAACAGTGTTGAAATGTAACGGCTAGCAAAATTTTGCACAGCCCTACTGCCCAGTAGTCAACTGTGCAGTCAGCATCTTGTGTAGATACGGCCACTTAATGCTTGTTTTAAGACCTCAAATGGGTCTTAAAGGATGAGCCACCCTTGGGTTGGCCTTCAGCGTAAGAGATCATTTCATTTGGGTGGAGTTTTTGAATTTCATGTGCAATAGATGTCAGGGTATCACGGAGGACCTGTGGCTTCACTGAAATCTGTTTTCCTTCCCAGCAAATGGGCTTTGGTCCTGTGTGAAGAATGTGGAGTAAAAGGGACCCACCGTCTCTGTTCATCATTAAATGAGGAATCCCCGTGGCTTTGCCAGGAATGCATGGAAACTCTCTGCAGGCAAATTGAGGCTGCCAGTAAGTAATAGGGATGGGCAGAACTGAGGCAGGTTATATAGGCTCATGTTAGCCTATTACCATTTTAGCTGGCTGAATTTGGTAGGTTTGAAAATGACCGTGGTTGCCTAGAAAGACTGAGAAAAAGTTTATGTGTGGGAAGCAGAGAATTCATTATGCTCTTCTGAATTACAGGTCATTTAAAAATTACTTGGTTTGACATTTTGACATTTGTCTATGCTTTGTGTAGTGTGTTCCTGTTTGCATCAGTGAATAACTCCATGCTTGGAAAACTAAATTGGCTCTTTATTAAAACAACTATTTACCACTTGCTCCAATTGCAACTACCATTCCAGCCACGTGCAGACCAACCATCTTCTCTAAACTCTCCCTTCCTGCAACCTGTGCTCCTCTCTTCAACTTTCATGCAGGTGGCTATAGTCTGATATTCCTTGGTCTGCATGCAACCCAATCAAGGGAAAGAAGCTTCAGTGTCACAGACTTTTCCTTAGGGGGACCTGTATTCATTCCCTGATCTGCTCATGGTGGATGTAGTCTTTCTGGACTTTAGGAAGGCCTTCAACACTGTCTCTCACCCCATTCTCATAAAAAAATTAGGTGACTGTGGTGTTGATGCCTACAGGGTCAAATGGGTTGCAAATTGGCTGGAGGGCCGCACCCAGAGAGTGGTGGTGGACGGGTCATTTTCAACCTGGAGGGATGTGGGCAGTGGGGTTCCCCAGGACTCAGTCCTCGGGCCTGCACTGTTCAACATCTTCATCAGCGACTTGGACGAGGGGGTGAAAAGCACCTTGTTCAAATTCGTGGATGACACTAAGATGTGGGGTGAAGTGGGCACGCTAGAGGACAGGGACAGGCTGCAACTAGATCTGGACAGGTTACAGGGGTGGGTGGATGAGAAGAGGATGGGTTTCTATACTGACAAGTGCAAGGTGCTGAACCTGGGGAGGAAGAACCAGCAGCAGACCTACAGGCTGGGGAACTCCCTTCTCGTCAGCACAGAGGCAGAAAGGATCTTGGAGTCATTATTGACTCCAAGATGAACATGGGATGCCAATGTGAGGATGCGGTCAGGAAGGCTAACCATACCTTGTCGTGCATCCACAGATGCATCTCAAGCAGGTCCAAGGAGGTGATCCTCCCCCTTTATGCAACACTGGTCAGGCCGCAGTTGGAGTACTGCATCCAGTTCTGGGCGCCGCACTTCAGGCGGGATGTGGACAGCATGGAGAGGGTCCAGAGGAGGGCCACTCGCATGATCAGGGGGCAGCAGGGCAGGCCCTACGAGGAGAGGCTACGGGACCTGAACTCGTTCAGCCTCCACAAGAGAAGGCTGAGAAGGGATCTGGTGGCTGTCTACAAACTGGCCAAGGAGGACCAGCAGGCAGTGAGAGAATCCCTGTTCCCCGAGCACTCCTGGAAGTAACAAGGAATAACAGCCACAAGTTGACTGAGACTAGATTCAGGCTAGATATCAGGAGGCGCTACTTCACAGTCAGGTCGGCTAGGATCTGGAACCAACTTCCAATGGAAGTGGTGCTCACTCCTACCCTGGGGGTCATCAAAAGGAGGCTGAATGAACACCTTGCCGGGGTCATTTTACCCCAGAATTCTTTCCTGCCATGGTAGGGGGTCGGACTTGATGATCTTCTCGGGTCTCTTCTGACCCTACCTACCATGCTACACAGGCTTCCAATGTGACTTTAGGATCTGGAAACACTGATTTAGATTAGTTTAAATGCAGTTTAAACCTGAAATGGACTGAAGTACAAGATTGTTAAACTGATTTAAAGCTTCCCAGAACAGTTCAAAAGTGTACCTTGAGAAGCAAGATTATGTTGCTTATTGCCTGGTTGCCCTTGATAAGGAACATAGGTTACTTCCATCACTGTTCTAAATATAGCATAAGGTTACTCTGTAGTTAGGCTTTAGAGACTAGGATTCCCACTGCAATTCTGCACTTGATGCTCAGGCCTGATCCAAACCCATGAATATCAGTGGGATTATCTTGGATGATCCTTGAATCAGGTCCTTGTGGAAGGATGATTCTCTCTCCAGAAATAGTCAGTTTTTATTACCAAAGTATCAAGGTTGATTTTTACCTCTCCTTGGAACTCCAAAATATAAGACCGGGAGAGACAGAGAGAAAGGAGGAAGACTTATGCTTTCACGTATTTAGGGGTAAGCTCCAGTCATAACTGGCACATATTCAGAAATGCTGATTAATTTGGACTTTCTGGGCGCGTCCAGATGAGTGCACACATGCCTCTTGCATGTGAGATGCTTGCAGCATCTCAAACCCCTTTGAGATGCTGCAAGACGTCATGTGGGAACAAAAAAAAAAACCGTTTCCCACGCTGCAAATTTGTTGTGCAGGGGCAAAATTAGATCCCTGGTTATCCAGGTGTCAAAAACACCCCAGGGGAAAAAAATGGGGCAGGGAATGGTCCCAGACCATGCCTTGAGGCAACCAGAGGCTCAGTCCTCCACAGGGATGCTCCGGTAGCCAGCCAGAGGGTCTCTATGGATGGCCCTTGTCATGGTGCTGAATGATGCTACCTGCCCTTGTGGGACAAGCAGCAGTGCAAGCTGCAGGAACCTGCCTTTGTGCCAGGCAGGTTGGGGGGGGGGGCTGGAGGAGGGGAAGGGGGCCATGGTGAGGGGGGGCACCTGGCCCCAACCTCTCCACCCACTGCTTGGGGAGAGCTGGCAAAATGATTGGGGAGCAAGGGAGAGCAGGCAAAACCAGCAGGGAGCAGGGAAAATGAGGGGACAGCAGGGGAGAGCAGCTCCCTCAGCTCTCCCCTCATTTCCCCAGCTCCCCCCTGCTCTCCCCTCATTTCCCCTGCTCTCCCCTGTTCCCCAATCACTTTTCCTGTTCTCTTCTGCTCTCCCCTTGTTTTCCCAGCTCCCCAATTGTTTTCCCAGCTCCCCACTGCTTTCCCCTTGTTTTACCTGCTCTCTCCTTCTCCCCTCTCATTTTCCCTGCTGTCTGCAGCTGCCTGATTGCTTCCCTGCCCAGCCTCCCCCCCCACGCACACAGCCTGAGCTTACCAGCAGCAATCAGGGACACTTGGAGCCTCATGGCAGACACCCCACCACAGCAGAGGGCACCAAGGATCGGCCTTGGCTGCCTGGAACCTGTACTGGCACTCCCACATCATGTGAGTGCAGCCCAACTTGTCAGGGCTGCACATATTGCATTGTCTGGCAGCTCAGGGCTGCTCCAGCTGTCACCCAGGGCCAGTGCTGCTCAGCCCCAGTGTCTCTGAGCTGCCAGACAGTGCACAGCACCCTGCCAAGATGGGCTGCACCCACACGTGATGCAGCAGTGGTAGCGTGGGTGCCAGGCAGCTGGGGCCAATCCCCGCTGCCCCACGCCACTTGGGGGGGCTGTGCCATTAGGCCCCAGTGGCCCCAATGGCTGCTGCTGCAGCTGGTGAGTGCAGGGATGCTGGGGCCAGGCAAGGAAACAATTGCGGGGGGGGCTGGGGGAGTGAGCTGGGGCTGGGCCCGGGCAGGGGGCTGATCAGGGGAGCAAGCAGGGGCTGAGTGAGGGGCACATGGGCCCTATGGAGGAGGGAGCAATAGCCCCTGCAAGGGGGCATGTGGCCCCTGTTGAGGGGCTTTGGGCCCCTGTTGGGGGGCTGTAGCCCTGTGGGGGGAGCAGTCCGTGAGCTATGCAGGGGCCTGCAGGGGCAGGGGACCCACCCCTCCTAAGCAGCCCCCCATATGCCCTCCCACACCTACAGTTCCCCCACAATCCACCCACAAACCCCACACCCCCGAGCCACCCCCACAAACCCCTCACCCACATACTTAGCCTTGTGGGTCAGGAGTGAGGGGACTGGGGTGGGAGGCAGGCTGTGGGTTGAGAGTGAGAGGTAAGGGAAAGGGCAGAACAGTGGTATATCAGTGCTGCTCAGCACTGCACACCCTGGTGAGCAAAGGGGTTCGTGGCGGCTCTGATTTTTATATTACAAAAAAGCCGAACGCCACTGCCAAACTGTATAGATAGTTAAAATTTATTTTATTATGATGCTAGAGGCATTGGTAGGCTTCCAAATTGTTTTAAAATTGTAAATATATCAATAAAACATTGTTCAACTGATTTAATCTTTCTCTTTATAATATATGCATGTCTAGTGGTCTTTTGTTTTACTTGTGGAAGAACATGGATTTGAGGGTATGTTAAAGAGTGATTTTAGGATTTCTTTATCAGGGATTTTTCAGTTTTTAAGTAGGCAACACCAGAATTCCTGCTAGTGAGCTAAGTGGCAGGACCTAGGCAGAGAAGCCTGCTCAGAGCTGGCACCCGGGACCCAGCTGGAGGTGTCTGACCTCCTAGCCACATGGGGCCAGGAGGACATGCTTTGACAGTTCAAAGCAGGCCACCACCCTGAGAACACCTTTCAAGTGATAGCTGCCCAGATGGCCAGGTGGTGGCACACATGGCAGTAGTGCAGCACAAAGGGCAACTGGGTTGCCACAGCTCACTGGCAGCCGGCCCAGAGGTGCAGATGCCTCTACTGGCCATACAGTTCCCATCCAGGTCTGGCAGGCGTGCAGCCTTGGGGCTACATGCTGTTGCAGGCGACAGCAGGTCACAGCCAGGCAACAGCATCCGCTGCCAGACCCCTGCAGTGGGTAGAGGATGCAGGGAACTCTCAGAGCTGCTTCAGCAGTCCAGCTGGCACAAGGGGTAGTGTCCCCAGGTACCAATTGGCCAGGCCCCAGAAGCTCCTGAGAGTGAGTAGCCCTGAGCTACTTGCCAGGGCAGCTTTTTATACTGGTAGGGCCAGCACAGGTGTCCCCAGCCTCTAGCTTCCCCTGGCAGATCTGGGAGGGGCCAGGCAGAGTTATTTTGCCCCAAGTGGCACAATTTGCTCTACACCAAAATACACGTCTGGGCACGTGCACTGGGCCAAAAAGCCCCAGCTCAAATTTGCACTGCTTCTTTGGGAGCTGCTGCAAGCTCACATGCCTGCATGTGTGGACGTGCCCCCTGAAATTCAGCTACGTGGAACTGAGGTAGAATATTGGATCCAAAATAAAGGTATTTTCTTCATTATGTGTGTTATGGCTTTTCACTGCTACTTGGCTATTTGACTATTCCATTTGACTATTCCTTTCTCCAGAAACCTAAAGATGAAACATCCATCATGATAGCTAATCTACTTGTATTACTTAGCCTATGGTTAAATATTATTCCATCCTCAGGATTTGAACAGATTTTTCTATGGGTTCTTCTTTAAATGCTGTAATGAGGCCTTGCGCTTGAAGTTAAGCGTGTGCTTAAGTGCTCAGCTAGGACAAGGCCAAAGTAGTTCTACATCATCTTTAGATCACTGATTTGTTTTCCTTGTTTTCAGTTGTTCTTTCAAGTTATGGGCTTCCTTTATGATTCCTTTTCTCCTCATCATGAACCCGCTGCAATGGCACTTTCACATTCCTCAGAAAGTAAATGGAAAGGCAAGACTTGATCAGAAACTATTGATCTTGCTCCTTTAAGGAGCAGGACCATACTAATAGAAGAAAAGATGTGGAGTGCTATTCTCTCCCCAGATAGCAAACATGCCTTCAGTGCAGTTTGGATTGCTACTGTTGCTCGCTTGTCCAGAAAGTGGCAGACTACTCTGCATTAAACACATCGGCCTTAGATGTGTCTGCCTAAGAAGCTTAATACAATACATTTCCTTAGATCAGGCATAGCAAACTCATTCAGATCCGTGGTCTGGATCTGGACCACGGGGCTCCTTCCAGAACCATGTCTGGTGATGCGGTTGCCTGGGGTGCTATGTCAGCTAAGGGAGCTGTGAGGATTAATGCCACCATTGTTTGTCCTGCTGCTGCTGCTGAATTTGGTACCCAGGAATTCAAGTGCCCAGGAATACCCAACAGTTCAGCAACTGGGTGAGTGGTGGCAGCATTAACCTCATGGCTCTCTAACCCACTGTGTCTGCTCAAGCATCCATGGGGGTTAATATCACTATTGCTCACCTGACTGCAATATTCTCAGCCCCTCCAGCCTTCCTGCAGCTTTGCAGATTGGATCTAGTCTGTGGGCCATATATTTTACACCCCTGCCTTAGACAGATAATGCTTCATGTGTAACATTGCAGAAGCCCCTCACATGCCCTCTGATCAGTTAAATAAAGAACTGATCAGAGAGTAGTGGAGAGTAGATTTCATAGTTTCATAGTTGATAGGGTTGGAAGGGACTTGAGCAGATCATCAAGTCCAACTCCCTGCCATGGCAGGAAAGAGTACTGGGGTCAAATGACCCAGGCGAGGAGTTCATCCAGCCTCCTCTTAAAGACCCCCAGGGTAGGAGCCAGTACCACTTCTCTTGGAAGCTGGTTCCAGATCCTAGCCGCCCTGACAGTGAAGTAGCACCTCCTGATGTCTAGCCTGAATCTACCCTCTGCCAGCTTGTGACCATTATTTCTTGTCACTCCTGGTAGTGCTCGGGGGAACAGGGACTCCCCCAATGCCCGTTGGTCCCCCCTGACTCCCCTAGATCCCCCCTCGGCCTTCTCTTGTGGAGGCTGAACAGGTTCAGGTCCCTTAGCCTCTCCTTGTAGGGCCTGCCCTGCTGCCCCCTGATCATGCGAGTGGCCCCCCTCTGGACCCTCTCCATGCTGTCCACATCCCTCTTGAAGTGCGGCACCCAGAACTGGACGCAGTCCCACTGCGGCCTGACCAGTGTTGCATAGAGGGGGAGGATCACCTCCTTGGACCTGATTGAGATGCATCTGTGGATGCATGACAAGGTACGGTTGGCCTTCCTGACCGCGTCCCCACACTGTTGGCCCATGTTCATATTGGCCTCAATAATGACTCCAAGATCGCTTTCTGCCTCTGAACTGACAAGAAGGGAGTTCTCCAGCCTGTAGGGCTGCTGCTGGTTCTTCCTCTCCAGGTGCAGTACCCTGCACTTGCCAGTGTTGAAACTCACCCTGATTTAGGTTAGACATCAGGAAGAAATTTTTTGCAATAAGGGTGGCCAGAGTCTGGAATGGGCTTCCAACAGAGGTGGTGCTATCACCTAACTTGGAGGTCTTCAAGAGGAGGCTTGACAATCACCTGGCTGGGCTCGTCTGACTTTGGTCCTCTTTCCTGCCAGGGGCAGGGAGTCAGACATGATGATCCATTGGGTCCCTTCCGACTCTATAATCTATGAAATCTATGATAAGATTCTGCAAGCTGCCTCAAACAGCCATCATGATTTATTATTTACATTCTGATAATGCTTGGGGCTCCAGTCATGGGATGAGATCTTATTGTGCTTCTTCTCATTTCAGCCCCAAGTGACCAGGTGGATGTGGGAATGGCCTCCACCAGCGAAGCCTGCAGGCATGCACTGAAGAGGACGTTGCCTCCAGAGTGAAACAGGAAAAGTAGCAACAACAATGCCAGGGCTGCCACAAGGAGACTGGGACCCTAGGAGGCTCCAGAGATTTCCACAAAACTGGCTGGTCCCTTCGTCTCAGATGGATTTAGACATGACATTTGCTGAGGAATCCTCCAAGCATGTAGTGATGTGGGCTTTGTTGCTAAAAGGAAGGTTGGGATGTGGCTTCAGTTATGAGGGGAGAATGAAAGCTCCCTTGTCACAATAAAAGACAACTGGTCACACTATACTTCCCCACTTCCAGAAGAAGAGACTGTTCAATGGGCACTCAGAAACCAAAGGTCTTCCACGCTACATTGAGAGCCCAGTATTACAGCCAGGACTTTTGATACTATGACTATTATTCTCACAATCTTTCCTGTAGAACATTTTCTAATACAATATCATAAATGAAGCTGGACTTTAGCAGGTCACACCTTGAGAAATACATTAGCTTTGTGTCATTGCTTGCTCACTTTGGGTAAGCCTGGCAGTGGGCCAGCCAAGTCAAATTGATGCTTGAACCTGGGAGCACCCAAGGGTGTGCCTGTCCTCAACTGGAAGGGATAGATGAGGTAGGCAACAGTGTTGTGAGAGGGACACCTGTGATTTGAGCTTGGGTCCCTCTTTCCTCTATAGAGTCAGCTCCACACCAATGCTTCTAAGTTACAGTTTATTAAATTATAATATATATACTATCCTTAACCAGTATATAAAGGTAAATATCTCGGTAGGTATCACCCAACAAATAAAGGAAAACTTCTGGTAAGTATTTCCAGTGATATCATTCAACAACACTACAGGTATACAGATAAATATTTACAAATGGTAAGCTAGGAACCACCTCCTGGGACCGCTTGTCCCAATGAGCAGCCCACTTTGGGGATGGCCTTCTCAACCCTGCGCCCTACAGAGGCCTGGTGCAACTGGTGAGTCCTCAGGATGTCCGTGCGAGGAGGCGGATACTCAGATGGGTGGACCAGGTAAATTAGGGTCAACAGGTAGTTCACAGGGAACCCAGAGGAACCATTGGCAGAGTACAACCAGGTAGAAAAAAGGAAGCGGGGGGGAGGGGGCAAGGTGCGAGCAGGCAGCACACCAATGAGGAACCAATTATATAAAACTAAATCAATCCCATCACATATAGTACAACATATCCACAATCATGATAACAGTCTTACAAAATATAAGGCACAGCTTTACACAAGATAAGGCGCCTCTCCCCCTGGATTTCAGTTAGCAAGGGGTACCTCCCCTCCTAGGGGTCTAGCTGGGAGGGGACCTTTCACCCAGGGCTCCCCTCTGGGGGGGGAGCTTCGTTCAGGAACGCCTCCCCTGCAGAACCCAATTTCACTTGCAACTCATAGTCCTCTCCGAACAGCCATCGACCGGGCCTCAGGGTCCTCCGCTCAGTCAGAGGCCCCCAGTGCTGTCTGCCTCACACTGAGACCTCCCCTCCTGGCCCTGTGCCCCGCTTTGGGCGCCAAGGTTCCTCCCAGCTCTTGGGGAGGCGGGCAGAAATCCAGCTGCCGTTGGCTGGGTTTACCCAGCCTTATGCCTGGGCCTTACTTTCCCAGGCCCTGTTCTAGGCTCCAGGGCTCTTTTAGTTCCTTGGCCAGGGCTCCAGCTATCCGGTCTATGCTGCGGATAACCTGAGCAGCCTCAACCTGCTCCCAGGGCCGACTCTCCATGTGCCGCTCTGCACACCGATCCGGCCGGCCCCTTGCTGGGGATGCAAGCTCGAGCTGCCTTGACACAGCTCCCAGAGCCTGAGCCCCATGCACCCATCTGCACACTGCTGGGGTGAAGAAGGGATCCTGGTGTAGGCCCTTTTAGGGCATTTCCTCTCCAACATCCCTTGCTGCCTCCTCATGTGGCTCATGCTGCTTCTTTTATACTCTCAGGGCGCTCCAACTAATATTAGTGGTGTTTCCTTTTGGTCACAGAAACATGTGGATTTGGGATTACTTTTTTTAATCTGAAAATCGGGGATTTTTTTTTTTAATCAGAGAAAACCAGGATCTCTGGTTATTAGAGACAGTCAAAGTGCTGGTCCACTGTCTAACCTGTGCCCAACCCACAAAAGTATGACCCCTTTCCTGCCAGCCCTTCTAACTTCCCTGCATCTCAATAAATTCATAGCTCAGTTTGGGTCAGCCAATTTGACTTCCAGGTAATGCTACTTTGAATGTGTGCAGTTCCTTCACATGCTTCATGTGTGGGCAAGTGTCTGTATCCCTGCTGCACAGATAACTAAAGCATAGGGAGATGAAGGCTACTCCTTTACAAGGGACCTTCCTTCTGAGTTATCAGGGTTTACCAACCTACAGAAAGAAATACAAAACTCTAAAACTTGTGGTTCAGAGATGATACCTTTTATTAGATCAACTAAGGAATCGCCAAAAAAAAATCTTTCTTTGCAACCAACCTACAGTGCTTTTGGGCTTGCTGACACACACACTCCCACACAGGAGCTCCCTAAATCCATCCCATTCTGAATGTAACTGGTGGTGGATGAGGAGCTGTAACTGAATTGTGAAATGGAAGGGGGGGGGCAGAGAAAGATGAAATCTCTTCCTTGTTGCTGTGTCTCCACCGTTCTGTCTCCATTTGGCCATTCTGGTTAGACTATTACAAGCCTTGGATCCTGCAGAAATTTCCCCTTTCCAACAAGAACTGACTCCCAGGTGTCACTGACTCCCATTCATTATCCCCTCCCCACCAAGCTCTGGTCAGTGGGAATAATTGATCCTCAATTGCCTGCAGTTTTGGAAAGAGGGATTAATTACCTAGCACAGGTGTGACTGGCTGCAGGGTATAAAGGTTTCCCAAGCAGAAACCTCTCCCTGTGCTGGGTTTGCTGGAGTTAGGCAGGATGGGGCTATCAGGCTGCTTGGGGTTAGTTTTCATGTGCTGGGTGCTCAATGAGGGAGCCTGCTACACCCCCTGGGATTTCTCTAGGAGTGACTCAGCTGTCTGGAGACCCCCACCCAGAGCTAACCCTCCTCGGAGGCAGTCCAGCATACCCTCTCAAGCCCAGCTCTACCCCTGGGCTTGGGTTGATGCTTCCCAGCTCAGGGCGGTGTCTCTTCCACAGCCTGTCATGGTGCTGTGCCAGGAGGCTCAGATGGTGATAACTGTGCACAGGGATCTATTTGGGACAGGGCAGCTGATCAAAGCTGCTGACCTGAGCCTGGGCCCAGGTGCCTGCCAACATGTTGCTGTCAATGCTGTGGAGCACACTGTGACCTTTGCAGCAGGGCTCCATGAGTGTGGGACTACTTTGCAGGTGAGACTGCTCTAGGCCAGCCAGGAATCACTAACGTGTGAAATGAAGGGGAGGAGAGAGCAGGGTGGAAAGCTCCCTTCCTTCCTTTCTTGTCTCTGCTCAGTATTGCTCACTGGGGTTGATGTGTCTCCACCTTTTTGTCCCCATTTCCTCACCTCCTGTAACTGTTGTGTGGATACTTCCTTTATCCACCTGGGGTCTCTATGCTAACTTGTCTTTGCTTTCTGGGCTCATATTAAAGCTTGTCCCTGGAGGGGTAGCAGGAAACTACTTGTATTTGTTAGCTAATCTCTTTCTGTTTACCTTGAACCTTCATTTCTAGCTTCATTTCATTGAGTAATGTCTCTTGAGGAATATGGTTTACTGTTGCATTTGGAGCTAGCTAAACTTTTAATAGGACAGGGGTGGGGTTTAAATTGGAAATAACTCTGACTGTTCTCTCAGGGTGTTGTCATGACTTGACATCAGGCTTGAGCAAAGTCCTTCTACTTGCTTTGAGCTTCTTCATTCTCTTGCTCTTGAATGATTGTGTACTGTTAAAAACCAATGCATCTCTAGATCAATGCCTTTTTTTACACTTAACTCCTCGAAAGGCAACTTTCTGGAGCTCAAACTCAAATTCAGAGGTCCTGTTCAAAAAGCCTTTAAAACAGTGTCTTCCACCCAATGGAAAGCCCATGATGCAACTGTCTATCACAATTGATATGGCTGAAAATCAGCCCAGGAAGGGTAATGGCCACATGGTATTGTAGAAATTGTACACAAGGTATCTTTGGGCTCAATGTGAGCATGTGCTTGAACACTCAAGTTAGGATGATCTAGTTGGGGATGGTCTTGCTTTGAGCAGGGGGTTGGAGTAGATGACCTCCTGAGGTCCTTCCCAACCCTAACTTGCTATGATTCTACTCCTCTAGCAGGGTGGGGAAGGCATATAAGACTTTTTTGCAATATTATTTTTGGATGATGCCACTGTCTCCTTCCAGATGATCCCAGATTCCATAGTCTACAGCACAAAACTGAATTATAACCCAAGCCCAGCGAGGAACTCTGTTATACTAAGAACCAATCCAGCTGTGATTCCAATTGAATGCCATTACCCAAGGTGAAGCACTTGAAGGGGAGGTGGGAATATGTTATTGTATTACTGGTCTTGAGTCTGTTTTTTAACCTCTGAGGCTTTCCCTTCCAGGAAGGGTAATGTAAGCAGCCAAGCAGTCAGGCCAACCTGGGTTCCTTTTATCTCCACTCTCTCGGCAGAGGAGAAGCTGGCATTCTCCTTGCACTTGATGAATGGTAGGTCTCCTGGATGCTGAAAAAAGCTATGCTGGTGCAACAAGTTTCTTTCTTCTAGGCTTCTTTCTGTTTTAATAGAAGGAGCCACTTGCTTTTTCTGCCAGTGCTCACGCTGAGGTTGGCTTGCCTTCCAGATGATTGGAGTGCGGAGAGACCATCCAATGGATTCCAACTGGGAGATATCATGCACTTCCAAGCTGAAGTCAATACTGGGAATCATGTGCCTCTGCGGCTCTTTGTGGATAGTTGTGTAGCTACCCTGACCTCAGACAGGAACTCTTCTCCACGATATACCATTATTGACTTCAATGGGTAAGCACTGGTAACTATTCTCTAGATGAGTGTGACCCTAATGGGCTAGGCCCTACCCTTGGGAGGGAATCCTACTGACACATGATCATTGCATTTTAGATGTTTGGTGGATGGAAGATCAGATGATACCACCTCAGTCTTCATATCCCCAAGGCCTAGACAGGATGTACTTCGGTTTATGGTCAATGTGTTTAAGTTTGCAGGGGATGCCAGGGACTTGGTGAGCACTTCCTCTCTATACTGCAAGTAGGATTGGCTTCTGGATGGGGAGGTAGAGGTAGGGGGGCAAACTAAACATTTCACAGTAACAATTTTGGGGTCCTAAATCTTGATACTATGTCTCAACTGTGCTGCTGGTACTTACACCCTAAGACCATGCCATGGCCATGTTTTCAGTGAAAGGTGTCTTAATCCAATGGTAGTTCTTCCTTTGGGCTAATTCTGAGGAGTAGCTTGTACATGTTAAATCCTGAGAATTTATTGCTGGCACTACTTCTCCTTGAACAAGTCAGTCCTGTCTAGAGAAACTTTTCAACACTGCCTGATGATAAGTTTTATAGGGGAAAGCTGGGATTTGTACTAGTAAATGCAATCATGGCCATTCTATTTGAACTCTTCTGTCTCCCCCCAGATCTATATTACTTGTCATCTGAAGGTCACTCCAGCAGGTCAGACACCAGACCTCTTGAACAAGGCTTGTTTCTTCAACAAAGCAGGAAACATGTGAGTAGTTTGAGGCCAGAGCTTCTCCAGAAGCCCAGGGTCAAGGCCGCTTAAGTCCATTACCATCCTTCTGCCTCTTAAGGAGCTTGTGGGAGATGGGATAAGGGGTATACTAATGGGCTTTACTGTTGCTCATTATCCACATGTATCTAGATGAACAGTTAAGTGGAATAGCTTATTCTTTTTGCTTTAAATGAGTCAAGGAATCAAATGGTGTGTGTGGCATGGGTTTTAAGATGGATGAGGAAACTTCCTGGTCTGTAGATGAGTGTCTGTGTCTGTCCCACTTTAGCTGGTCTCCTGTGGAAGGCACCAGGGATATCTGCAGCTGCTGTGAGACTGGAAGTTGCAGGCTGCTAGGACACTCCAGGAGAGTGAACCCCTCGTCTAGATGGCCAGGAAGGCACTTCAGGAGAGATGTGTCTTCCAGGCATGGTATGTTGCCGTTTATGATGAATGGTACACTTAAGGAACGT